GCAGACGCCCCTCCCTGGATGAGTTTTAGTTTCTGGGTGGACTCCAGAAGATCTGTGATTTTTGGGGCCAGTCTGTCTGACACCATCTGACTTTGAGTCTCATATATTCATGTTTCATGGGAACATTGAATTGCACCTGTGTGAAACCACCTGATAGTATAACTACATGGATAAGCAGATGTACAGGTATTTGGTTTTGCTTCCACGCTAGACCTGCTATAAGCAGAGATGACTATCATATATAAAGAAGAACAGTAACCATTCTTTCATTTCATTGAAAAGGCTTTTTTCAAGTAAAGAAGAAGGTACGAAACCCTGGAGCAGGAATTTTCAAAATGTTGTTGTTTTGTTTGATTAAAAAAATAAAATCCCCCCCCTTTTTCCCGTTTTTGGTCTCGGTCCCTCGCTTCTCTCTTTTTTTCCCGATAGTCTTCTGTCTAGTTCTACCGTCTGTATCTTATATCCAATTGCGAAGTATTGTTTATTGTATTTCGGAGCCATGTTCCTTGTTTCTGGTCACGGCTATGTTTGCCTGGTTTCTCAACGATGACGACGGGTTACTCGAGTTTGTTGTTGTCTTCCTGTTCTCTTTCCCCTGTCTGGAGAACCACATGCGGATTTGAAACTTTGGCAGGATACAGTGACAGAACACCTCGAGGATCACCGCTGCTGATCTCAACTCAACCGTCTTGCCTTCCCTTACCGCACTAGCTGCTATTTTATGATCGAGTAAACAAATTACTGCCTTCCGCTCTAAGCGCTGCCATTTCTTCCTCTTGCTCCTCGTCCTGCACAGCGGATATCCGGCGGCTGCTTGTACGCTCGACGCTCTCCCGCTGAGAGCCGAATCAAGTGGAGAACATGCAGAAAAAAATTTGAATGTCAAACGCCGGAGATGAGAGCAGACCTCGCCTCCCATCAGACACAGTTTGACTGACAGTGTTGCTGATGGATATTTCAACCCCCAGTGTCCCTATTATAACTCCAAAATCTCATGTGCTTCAGGCATCCTTCAACGATCTCATGTTCTTGCGGATCCTTCAACACGGTCATGAATCCTTCAGCTCCGATGTGAATTCTCACTTTCCCAAATTAGTACCGTGCATTCACAAACCACTTAGCGGTCTTTTTTCTTTGTTCTCGCTCTCTCTCTTAGATGTCTCACTCCGGCAACAGGCGTCAACCAATCAGGACGGGCTACGTTAGCCACGAAAAAGACTCACGACTTATTGGTTAATTTGCACTCATTGACATTTTAGAACTCGAAACGCACATCGTTTCATGGTCAGAGTTCTAAAATCTAAGATTTATTTGCTCGTGACAAAGGAGTCGAATCTCTGCTCGAACCAAAGATGTTCAATAACGGCTCAGGGGTAATTGAGGTCACGGCCCTTTTTGAATTTTTGAACGGCATTTACAGAACGTGTTAAACACGCTAGTGACTTGAAGCTGTAACTTCAACTTTTCAGATGTAGTCAGGAGGAGTTTATGCTTTCTCTTGAAAACGATACTCTGTGTGTGTGTGTGTGTTTTATTGTCTTATTAAATTCAAGAGAAAGAAAAAAAGATAGGCTTGTGATGGAACGATTATTATTTTTTTTAATATATATCTGCCATAACGTAAGTAGCATACAATAAATGTTACTACAAATGGATAAAAACACAACATCGTTCATTTTATTAATAAATATTCGGAATCGCCGGCACGTTGCTGTAGTAAAAGACGAATAAAACACTTTGGGATGTGCCGTTATAGGAAAACAATCAACTTTGGAGTGGTAACAGTACAGTAAGTCCATCCTATACCAGCCTGACCAGCACGAGTGTTTTATTCCTCTTGTATTCACTGCTCCTCTGACCTCAGAGTCCAACAGAGTTCTGAGAGAAAATGTCCGGCTCCTTCTGAGAAACAAACCCCCCAAAACCCCCAAAACAGTTATTGACCACTTCCGTGAAGTATTTTATTTTTCCGGAGTCACTTTATTCTTTCGCACGTTAGATTGGGCACATCGTTAGAGCTGAATGCCACCAGGTTGTTAACATACTTCCAGCCTTGAACTTTGTGTTCATCCAGAATGAGCACCTACGTCATGAGGCACATACGGCGCGAGCGTGTTTATCGCCTGATTTCGGCCTTCGCTTTCGGAGAGTGTAGCATCGACCTGGTAATGGAACGATCGATACGGATATTCTGCTCATCTCTGAAAATCCATATAGTTGTTTTTTTTTCATTTAATTTCACTCAAATTTCACTCACTAAAAGCTCGTTTATCGCGTTAACGATGATTGTTTTCAAAATCAAAAAGTCGTTATGAAATAAATTACGCTAGCTAAGTGCATTTATACAGACCGAATGAAACGATTGTGTCTTGGATCGTTATCCTCTTCTAGCAAAGTATTATTTAAGTCTGGAGAGTGTTTTTATTTTCTCTAGAAATGTTTAAAGTGCACCTATTATAGTTTTGAAACGTTTTGTTTTAAAGCTCGCATACGATAGATTTACACACATCCAAACACTTCAAAATACACATTTACGTGCTCGTAATTTAAACTGCAACGTTACCTTTCTCCCCCGGTGTCACTAACGACTCGATAAATGACCCGTTCTAAAGGATCTATAACACACTACATGCAAGGTAGCATTTGAAAAACCATAACAGGTGCACTTTAAGGGTGATGGCACTGTGAGTAATAAGCAGGAGAGTCATATGATGGCTTTGTGATCGGCTTTATTTTGGATTGGTCACAAACCCATGTGTTCCTGGTTCTCAAAAAAAATAAAAATAAAGATTGTCTTTCACCCATGCACGCTAATTAATTGTCCTAATAAAAAACTATAACATATATATAACATATATATATATATATATATATATATTGTTGCTACACTTTAAAATAGTTTACAGCCCATGTTCTGAGAATTTATTGTCCTGCACTCGTCATATATTTTATATTTGCACTTTACGTGGTTTTGAAAAGATTTTTGCCCCCAATATATACAAGTTATATGGAGGAATGACCAAAAAAGAAAAGCCCACTTCGATCGAATAAAGCAGGATTTTTAGCACTAGGTTTAAGAAAACTAACTTTTTTCACTAAACTTAAATTCTTCTTCTTTTCATCCCATAGAAAAAGAGCACATTTCTCTATTCACAAATCCCTTTCGTTCGAGCAGATTCAATCGTTTCACAGCGGGAATGGGTGAAAGTCTTCTTCTTTCATGCGTGGAAATCGAAATCGTATTCGATCCAGCTCAGTTTGGTATCCGTATTTATTTATTTATTTATTTTTTAAAAATAGAAAAGGCGAGCTGAAAATGTCTGTAAAAATCGGAGTTAGTATGAAATCCTTAACTGCCCAGTGTTACTGCATCATAAAGTACAAGAACCAATGAGGTGCCGATATGCACATGTAGGCCATCCAACACAGGTTTTTACGAAAGGATATGGGGGTGCATTTGCATTAGAAAATAATTATGGATTTCTTCATTAGGGAATGTCAACATGCAGCCTTCAGATTTTCTTTTATGTGTCCGGATCTGAAGTGCACAGAAAATGCATGCTGTTCAAAAGATGTTTCCGGGAAATAATATTTTGCTTGGTATTCTTGTAGCCGTGGAGAGTACACAGCATGGGGGGGGTGAAAGTACCCACATGCTCGGCTTTATTGCAATCATCTAGTTCTTAGAAATGTCGCAGGTGCCCGTATGGTGTAACAGAAAAGTTTCTGCCTTATCAGCAGGAGACTGAATCGACTTCTGATGGTGCCACAGCAATGTGTGGTTGGTGGACAAGAAAGGATAACCGGATGTGCTCGCTGGGTGGGAGGGGCATACTCTCTCCCCTCTGCCAATCATTGTCAGGGGGCTTGTTGGTTAAGGCTCTGGGTTACTGATCGGAAGGTCGGGGGCTCAAGCACCAGCTGCCACTGCTGCCAAGCTTCCAACCCTCTCTACTCCAGGGGGCGCTGTATCACGGCTGACCCTGCGCTCTGACCCCAACTTCCTGACATGCTGGGGTATGTGAAGAAAATAATTTCACTGTGCTGTGACGGATAAAGACTCATTATCATTATGTATGTAGAAGAGGGCAGGTAGCGCTTGTGACGCAGCGGTTCTAAAAAGATTCGGTTCCCTGGATTCACGTCTCAGCGGTCGTGTGATAGAGGAGAGCTGACTGGTGGGGTTGAATTGGAGGAAAAATCAAAAGAAGTGATACACTTTCCAGACTGTTCTGTGGTTCTTACATACAGTTCTTCTGTGCAGAAATGTGCACCACTAATGAAATCCCCCCCACCCCCTTCCTGTTATAAAGCCTAGCGGGAATTAGTCTGCCCACAGCAAGCTGGCGAGAAATTTTAGGATTGATACAGGCACATTAACACAGACGGTGCTTTGCTTTTGCGTACGGACAGGAACCGAAATCATACATTTGCTCTGCAGGGTCCGTGGCCTCGTGAAAAGCTAATGCTGCACACAGAATTGCAGCGAATCGGCGTCATCGCTCCTCTCCTCAATCACTCCCGACAGGTGGCTCATCCAAAAGAATACAATTACCACTTACTAGAGAACACCGACGTGTTTCTACCTTTGTACACTCATGCTGATTTCCCCTGCGTGTTTATTTCTCCAGTTCTCACAGCACTGAGTCATGACCCAGTGGCACGTTGCGAAATCACAGCCTCACAGGAACTCCTCATAACGCCTTCTTCACTCCTGCGCCTTCACAGTACTTCACTTTCCCTAAAAAAAAAAAAAATAATAATAATAAAAAAAAACCTGTTTAATGAATTAAAGGAAATCATGAAGGTTAAAATGCAGTTTATCAACACGCCATGATGTTCTGTTAGAGAAAAATCATCAGCACTGGGGTGGTGTGATAAACAGAGTCAACTAATGTGATTATTTTCCCAGCGCACCACATCTGGAAGAGTTTTATTGATTGATTTGCTGACAGTTTTTTTTATTTATTAAAGATCTTTTTAGTTTGATTTATTATGAGGGCGCAGTGGTTTATTGATTAGCACGTTTGCCTCGTACCTCCTGGGTTGGGGGTTCGAATCCCGCCTCCGCCCTGTGTGCGCAGAGTTTGCGTGTTCTCCCTGGGGTTCAGGGGTTTCCTCCGGGTACTCCGGTTTCCTTCGTCGGTCCAAAGACACGTGTTGTAATCTGATTGGCGTTTCCAAATTGTCCGTAGTGTGCGATTGTGCCCTGCGCAGGATTGGCACAACGTCCAGGGTGTCCCCTGGCTTGTGCCCGAGGTCCCGGGGGTAGGCTCCAGGCTCCTAGGCAACCCCGTGTAGAATAAGCGGTATGATGGATGGCTGGATTTTTTAAAATATATATATATGTTCATAGCTAGCTCAACAAAAAAAGTTCCTGTTCTCACTCGCATTACAGCAGCTTTAAGGAGACGTTCCTTCACCAAGCCTCTCTTTCTGTTTCTCATGAAGTGAAGAAGAACGCGTCAGAGAACTTGTCTGTCCTGAAGATGTCAGACTGTTAACTAATATATATATAAATATATATATATATATATATATATATATATATATATATATATATATATATATATAGTATCTCACAAAAGTAAGTACACCCCTCACATTTTTATAAATATTTGATGATATCTTTTCATGTGACGACACTGAAGAAATGACACTTTGCTACAATGTAAAGTAGTGAGTGTTACAGCTTGTGTAACAGTGTACATTTGCTGTCCCCTCCATTATTTTCCAGCACTGCCGCAACCCTCTTGGGCATGGAGAACTTCACAGGCTGCTACTGAAGTCCTCTTCCACTCCTCCACCCCTATATATATATATATATATATATATATATATATATATATATAAACTGGTATATCATTAGCATACTGTCTGCTGTACACGTCCCTGTGAATGAGCTGTTACTATGGAAACGATTATTACAACAAGCACATTAATATAAACCCGTGCTACTATCTGTGCTGCCATTATAAAAAATTCATCAACACCTTCTGGTATAATATGAGATGTACATTATTCTTCATTCCTTCTGAAAAACATTAAATATGTAGCACAGAAGTTTTCTTTCACTTTCGGCAAAAAAAAAAAAAAAGCAGAATTACCCGAAGAACTGCATTGTGCCAGTACAGCTGAATATCACTGAAGGGTTCACTGAACGCTTGTTTTTTAATTTAATGGTTTATCAATTATTGCAGTTGTTTACCACGCTGTTGACTGGCATATCCTCAGGAACATTAATAATCTGTGGCCGGAAAGCCGTCATTCTTCTCTACAGAAGCGGTGATTGACAGAGAGGAGAGGATAGAATAATTACTTACGCATACACACCACCTACAAAAAGACCAAGAATTTCATAACTGCAAGTACCATAAGCTCATAATCCGCTCATAGCTGCTTGTCTTTCAGTGACTCGAGCGCTGGCTATTGCCACTGAGCCTTTAAGCATGGGGTTCAACAAAGGCTTGAACTTCTATTTTCCTCTAAATACAGAGCTGAGTCCAGATGCTGCGAGTTCCTAATTGAATCAGGTTCCCCGGCTGTTCCTGACCTGACTGTCAGTTTCACACAATAACAACACGAATACAACTTTCTTTCACAAGACTACACCGCTCCCTTGTCTACCGTGTAGTTGACAAGCTTCTTCGTGCAGTTCATGACATCGGTACAATGAGGTTCTGTCTCGCATTTCAGTCGAAAAGAGACAGAGTTAAACTTCGTCTCTGGGGAATGTTATTCCGCTGTGGAGAAACTATTTTAAAAATCTCCAAACTCACGGATAAACTTGGTTTTATAAGGTCCTAGTTGTTGACCAGACAATGATCATACAAGTTGAACGCTGGAAGAATATAATATAGGCGTCCTTGGCCATTCAAAATTCATGTTCTGTTTACACTTTGGCAGAAATGGATAGACTCGAGGCCTCAGAACCTTGACCCTGAAAGAGAATGAGATGTTTAGTAGTGACTGTACAACGTCATTCTCTCAGCCAACATATAAACAATAGTAGCTCAGGAAACCCAGCATCTTGTGGACCTCACAAACATTGGTAAGGGTCTCGATTACCACAGTAACCACAGGTCCTTCTTAAACAGCTCAACCCCATGTCACTGGAGGGCTTGTAAAACTTTCCAAAGTCCTTATACGTTTCCTTCAAAAGTTTGCCATAGCAAAGTATGTCATCCAGGTATGGGATGAAAACTTTCGTCTCTCAAGGTATCCGATATTTCCTCTATACTTCTTCGACATGTGGCCGATGCATTGGTCAAGACAAAGGGAATCCATATAGATTCATAGGGACCCCATGGAGCAGTGAAGGCAGGTAGATGTCATGATCCCTTGGCGATGACGCCTTGGTGGTAGGCTTTGCCTTGATCCAAGATTGAAAACCAAACGAATTCAGCCAGCCAGAGTATCTCTGAGGTCTTGGATTCGAGGAAGGGGTCTTCAGTGAGGACATGTAGTTGACACAAATCCAGAGTGTCCCATGTTTTTTATGGACACAGATGAGGAATAGGGAGATATTGACTTGACAATCCAGCCTCTTGCGGGAAAATCTTGCATGAATTCTTTAACTTCTTTGTACAGGGGCTTCAGAACTGAGGTGTATGATCTCTGAGCAGGAATATCATCTGTGAGGTTGATGGTCATTTGTAAGCTTGGAATGCAGCCCAAATCTTCTTCATTACGTGAATATGTCAGGCATTCTTCATAAAGCATTTATACTTCCAAGTATTGTTCATCAGGGCAGGGTAACATCATGACTTGTGTGATTTCCTACTGGGATTTTGATTAATGGACTCTAGAAACTTCTAACAGACCATTACCCATATAAAGCTAATCCCGTTGTGGTGTTTCTTGGTTGGATTCAAAAAGGTAACTGGTTTTGACAGGGCAGAGTCTACAGGGACTTTGCATTTGGCAGATGACACCTGTCCTGAAGGAATAAGAACATCATGACATGGTAAATGGTATATAGTCCTTTTAACCTTTGCAGTTCTACAAAGCGCTTTACATTGTGTCTCATTCACCCATTCACACACACAGTCACACACACACCAATGGTTACAGAGCTGCCATGCAAGGCGCTAGCTTGCCAGCAGGGTCAACTTGGGGTTCAGTGTCTTTCCGAAAGACACTTCGGTATGTCACGTGGGCCGGGAATCGAACCACCAATGCCAATGGCATCCTATTTTGGCAGTGGTCCAATGGACATTAGGTGGGCTTTGAGTCTGTATGAAGTTCATAATTACACTTACTTGGTCATCTTCTATTTCTATTGATCTACTAAGCAGTGACAGTAGACAGGATCTTTGTTCCATCTTTGTCTGTCCCCTAATCAGCTGTTCAATGACATTGAACCGAAGCACGGGTCGTTCAAGGGCCATGCTAATCACCAGAACGGGGTCGTGAAACAGCAGGTTAGAATCTCTGTTGCCTGGAAGGTTTACAGTCACCTCAATCCAACCATCGAATAGCATGAACAGCTAGTGCGTCGAGCGTGTTGGCTTCATAACGTAACATTTAAATACAATTAAACTACAAAAACATATATTAAGTGTATAATTCTGATAAATGGAATAATATGAAACACGTATTGTGCCGTTTCACTGGATGAAAAAAAAAACTGAGCAGAAAATAAACGTACAAAATAAACGTGAAGCATTACACACCATCCTGGCAAATTGACTTGTATAGTGGTGATGCTGGTGGTTCTAGTGGTGATGACGGTGTATAGTGTTGATGATGGTGTATAGTGGTGATGATGGTGATGACGGTGTATAGTGGTGATGATGGTGTATAATGGTGATGATGGTGTATAATGGTGATGATGGTGTATAGTGGTGATGATGGTGTATAATGGTGATGACGGTGTATAGTGGTGATGATGGTGTATATTGGTGGTGATGGTGTATAGTGGTGATGATGGTGTATAATGGTGATGATGGTGTATAATGGTGATGGTGTATAGTGGTGATGATGTACAGTGGTGATGGTGTATAGTGGTGATGCTGTATAGTGGTGATGATGGTGTATAGTGGTTATGGTGTATAGTGGTGATGGTGTATAGTGGTGATGATGGTGTATAATGGTGATGATGGTGTATAATGGTGATGGTGTATAGTGGTGATGATGTACAGTGGTGATGGTGTATAGTGGTGATGCTGTATAGTGGTGATGCTGTATAGTGGTGATGATGGTGTATAGTGGTTATGGTGTATAGTGGTGATGGTGTATAGTGGTGATGGTGTATAGTGGTGATGCTGTATAGTGGTGATTATAGTGTATAGTGGTTATGGTGTATAGTGATGATGGTGTATAGTGGTGATGATAGTGTATAGTGGTTATGGTGTATAGTGGTGATGGTGTATAGTGGTGATGCTGTATAGTGGTGATGATGGTGTATAGTGGTTATGGTGTATAGTGGTGATGCTGTATAGTGGTGATGATGGTGTATAGTGGTTATGGTGTATAGTGGTGATGCTGTATAGTGGTGATGATGGTGTATAGTGGTTATGGTGTATAGTGATGATGGTGTATAGTGGTGATGATAGTGTATAGTGGTTATGGTGTATAGTGGTTATGGTGTATAGTGGTGATGCTGTATAGTGGTGATGATGGTGTATAGTGGTTATGGTGTATAGTGGTGATGCTGTATAGTGGTGATGATGGTGTATAGTGGTTATGGTGTATAGTGATGATGGTGTATAGTGGTGATGATAGTGTATAGTGGTTATGGTGTATAGTGGTGATGGTGTATAGTGGTGATGCTGTATAGTGGTGATTATAGTGTATAGTGGTTATGGTGTATAGAGGTGATGTTGTATAGTGTTCATGATGGTCTATAGTGGTGATGGTGTATAGTGGTGATGATGGTTTATCGTGGTGCTGATGGTGTATAGTGGTGATGCTGTATAGTGGTGATGGTGTACAGTGGTGATAATGGTGTATAGTGGTGATGATGGTGTATAGTGGTTATGGTGTATAGTGGTGATGGTGTACAGTGGTGATAATGGTGTATAGTGGTGATGGTGTATAGTGGTGATGCTGTATAGTGGTGATGATAGTGT